GGGGTTTAGTTGTAATGAAATTCCAGAGTTTCTGTTTGTCTGGGAAGGTCCTTATTCTTTCTTCATAGAGGAAGGAGAGCTTTGCGGGATAGAGTATTCTTGGTTGGCATCTGTTTTCTTGTAGACTGTTGGCTATGTCCCTCCACTCTCTCCTTGCCTGTAGTGTTTCTTTGGAGAAGTCTGATGTCAGCCTGATTGGTTTTCCTTTGTATGTTATCTGTTTCTTCCCTCTTGTCAGCTTCATTATTTTTTCCTTGTCCTGGATTCTTGGGAGCTTTACTATTATGTGTCTTGCTGTATTTTTCCTTTCGTCATGGAAGTTTGGTGTTCTTCTTTCTTCTTGTATATCAATTTTCATCCCCTTCTTCACGTTTGGGAAGTTCTCTTCAATTATCTCCTTGAATATTTTCTCTGTTCCTACATCTCTCTCTTCTCCTTCTGGTATTCCTATAACTCTTATATTTCCTTTCCTCATGGAGTCAGATAATTCCTGAAGTCTTTCTTTGGTCTTTTTCCTTCATACTTCTCTTTCCTTTTCTGTTTTGGTTCTTTTTATTTCTGTGTCTTCAAGAGTGCTTATTCGTTCTTCCATTTCATCTATTTTGCTTTCATTGCTTTTCCCAGAGTTCTTTAGTGCCTCCATTAATTCTTTGATCTCTTGCATTTCTTTTACTTCCCTCTTTAGGGACTCAATTTCATTCTTCTGGTCGTTGATTATTTTTCTGTTATCATTGTTTTCCTTTATGAGTTCTGACATTTTTTTAATCATGGCAATTTGAAGTTCTCTTTCTGGAAGGCTCAGAAGTTCTTCCAAGTTACTGTCGTTGCAATCTGGGGGGTGGTTTTCTTTTTGTGGTGTGCTTTTTTCCTGAGGAGTTGCTAGGTTGCGTGTGGTTCTTCTACTCCCTACTGTCTGTTTTCTAATTTGCCGTATGCATTGGGACACTGTTGCTGGGACTGGCCGGCATCTTAGGTGAACTTCTCTCCTCCCCTCTAGCTCCTCCGGGAGCCATCTGTCGGTTTCAAGCAGTCTTTACTGAAGAAAGGTCCCTGTTTTAAAATGGCGATGCGGGGACACACTCCCCTGCGTGCCTGGTCTGCCCCGGCAGTGGGTTCCCGCTCCCCCTCTGGGCTCGGACTGCAGGCCAGAAGGGGCCTGGCATGGGCGAAATTCCCTGCTCCCCTCTGCCTCCTCCGGGAGCCTTCTGCTAGTTTCAGGCAGTCTTTACTGGAGAAATGTCCCCAGTGAAAATGGTGATGCGGACGCACTCCCGGAGTGCCCGGTCTCAGGCACTCTCTTCTGCGCGCCCGGTCTGCCCCGTCCGTGGGAGCCCACTCCCCCTCTGGGCTTGGACTGCTGGTCAGAAGGGGCCTGGTTTGGGGGAATTTTCCAACTCACCACTGGCTCCTCCGGGAGCCTTTTGCCGTTTTCAAGCAGTCTTTTCTGAAGAAAGGTCCCTGTTCTATGGGGTCTTGGTGATTTTTTTTTTCTGGTCGCTAGGTGGCGCCAGAGATCTCTCCTAGTGTCCTTGGGAGCTGTTTTTTTCACCCCGTGGGACGGGGAACAGAGTGGGAGTGGTGGGAAAAGCCTCAACGGCTTTGGGGTGCTGTGTCTGCCTTGTGCCCCACCGTTGTGGGGAACCCATGCCCCAAATTTCATGCCCCGGGTCTCAGTTTCAAAGCCCTCAGGTCCAGGAAGCGGGCTGTAGCCCAGTTCAGTGTCTGCAGAAATGGCTCCTTTTGCACCCCGCTCCCATGCCCGGGCGCCTGGTTTCTGATTACTCAGGGAGGGACATTCACCTCAGTGAGGACCCCCGCAAGCCTAGGTCGCAGACACAGGGACCTGGGCAGCCACGATCCGTGTTTGCTTTTCAAGCTCGCCGCTTTCCCGCACAAGCTTACCGGCTGGCCTGGGCCTTTATGCAGGTCTCCAGAGTCCTTGTTTTTCTCTAATGGTGCCCGGAGCCATTCGCTCACCTCTGCAGCGAATCCCGCAGGGTTCTCCACAGCTCCAGTTCACGGTGTGTGGTGGCTGAAATAATTCCTTTCCATTCACAGTACTGCTTGATGCATAGTTTGTTCTTGTTGGTTGTTTTAGTTTTTTGTTTTTTTCCTCCTTTCTGCTGGTCGGAGAGTGCCAACTTTGTGGGTGGGGGAGGGTAGCAGGGTTCTGAGCTTTCCTCCCTTCTAGTTCTCTTTTATGGCAACTTTCTTCTTCGGGTAGTTTGCTGGAGTCGTCCGTTTATCTTCCATGTCCCAGTTCTCACTGGGACCTGCCGCTTTTCCTCCCTATTAACTTTTTTTTTAATGGGAGATCTTACTCGCAGCATTTCCTCGCCGCCATGTTGGTCCACCTCCAGTTAAGTATAACATCCTGTAGTTCTTATTGTATACTCCTTAGTTAGGTTATTCCAAGGCACTGAATTTTTTTTTGAAGCAGTTATAAATGGAGATAATGCAAGAATAATTAATTCAGAGACACTTGTTTTAAACTCACCCATGTAGAATTTATTCACATCCCAAAGAGCAAAAGTTCCATTTTCTGTTTCTCCTCCCAAGGGAAATTTTTTTTGTATTAGGAAACAAAGTTACTTTCCCCTTCCATGAGGAAAAACGGAATAGCTACTTTAATACTGCATAAATCCCAGATTCAAACTTTTGGGGTTCCTCTCCTAAGATACACCGTTAATACTTGCAGGTGTGTCCACCCAGCACTTGTTGCATCAGCCCAAAAGGGGGAGAAGATTGGGACAAGGGAAACTAGTGTGGCTGTTGTTATAGGTAATTAACGTTATCCTGTCTCTGCCCTGAAACCTTGTGTTTACTTTCAGGATAACATGAATAAATATATAGATTTTTCAAGATTAATCATTACTTTTCCTTTACCTTTCATTGTTAACTTTGATTGATAGCAGAATGAAGGGTTCTTCTAAAGGCTTAATTCTTCCATGTTGGAGTTTAAAAATAATTATCTTGGCTTTGAGATATAGACAAATTAAAGAATTGGACATTGGGAAGCAAAATTATCTTAGAATATGCCCTTATCTGCTTGTTACTTAGAATTTTATAACATTTTAGAGATTTATTGTTTATGTTACATTATATATGCACTAATTCATATTATAAGTGAATTATTTCTAACTTTTAAACATTGTAATTTCATGGATTCTTTGCCTTTAAAATTAGAGATTTCAACTACCATATTTGAAAGCATTTTTTTCTGTTAGATTTAGTAAAACTCCAGATCTTCTAACCTAATGTTAAATTTTTTTTGAAAAACTATACTTGAAAGATTCTTACTCCAAACTTTTTTTTAAAAAAGTGAAGAAAAAAAAGTGAAAAATGTCTTTCTTTGACTATCTCCTTACTATATCTTATTTTACAATTAGATTTTAATTGGTGATCCTCTGGGATCAGGTTTTGACTCCTGCTACATTAATGAAAGTTATATATGTCATACTCTAAAGAGTGTAAAAACTGAACCTCTTGAAACCGTGCAAAGCTTGGGAGATACCATGGTTTGTGGATCTTCAGACATGAGTTTACAATTGCAACAGATGGCTCAGGCTCATGGTATAACAAGGGGGTTTATTAACAAGGGAAATTTGGGGAAAGGAGCTTCTAAAGCCACAGATGGCTGACTTTCCTACCCCAGAAAGTGTCAGCAGTGTCCAGTAGTCCAAAGCAAAGGTTGTTTGTGCAAGATGGCATTGTCCTTTCAATGAGAGCCTAGAGCTGATGGCATGCCAATAGGTGGTTGATGAGGATCTAACTCATGGTGGCAGCTGGAGGTGATCACAGGTAGTGCTACCAAGATGGCCCCTCAGCAACCAGCAACACCTGTGCAGAAGCTGGGCTGGGCAGCACCAGATACCAGGCTAGATGGCATGAAAGGCAACACCACCTGGAGGTAATGTCAGAGGACCAGAAGATGCCAGGCATAAGCCAAAGTCAGACAGCTCTTTTAGAGACACTGGGCATAGGTCAACATGCCAATCAGTAGGCAATATTGGAGGCAGGGCTAGAGGCAGGAGCAGTGTGAGGCTGAAGTTTGATGTGGAGCTCAGATACAAAGGTCTTGGAGGTCTTGGAGGTCTCAAAGGTCTGGTAGTTCTATGAAGATCTGAGTCTGGATTAATCTGTTTCAAGCCCTCTGAAACCTTTTCTTATATTGCCTTTAGGGTACCTTTCTTTCAAATCTGTAAATGATTGGTCCATTTACAATTCCAGCTCCATTTGATTGGTGCCAGTTGAGCTCATATCTGATTGGTCCATTTACAACTCCTGAATGGTCTCAAACCCTTGAATGGCAATGTAGGACCTGATTTGGTCTATTTTCAATTTTAGTGTGGAATTCAAAACTGAAACCCTGGCCTGAATGCCCAAAACCAAACCCAACCTATGTTGAGGTTGGATGATTTCCTGGTGGTAGTGGGCTCTGTAGCAGAGGCAGACATACATAGTGGTGCACTCAGGAGACCCTGTCTCAGAGCCAAGCATGCAGCACATCTTGCTGCTGAGGTGGGCCTCAGTGGAGCTGGAGTCTCACCCAGTAGCCTGAGCATGGACTGCCATGGAGTGGGCACTGTTACTGCCATCAGGGCTGGCTCATAGGCTGTGCACTGAGCTGGGGCCACAGTGTGTTTTCCCACCTACTGAGGTGGGCCTTAGCATAACTGTTCATGCCCAGTGGCACCAGTATCTGGAGGTTAACCTGTTACACTCTTCAAAAAACGTCATGAAACTGGTGGTAGTGGACCTCTCTTTAGAAAATCATGAAGCTATCACATTTCCCTCTTGTGCATTTGATTTTTATCTTTTTCTAAATTGATTACTGGTAAATCTCAAGGGGCAAAAACAGAGGGTATTTATTTCCTTTGAAATTCCCATGACTTTTAATATTCATAAAGCAGCACTTAGTTTAATTTGAGACATATAATTGGAAGAGTAATTAACCATGACAGTATATATTATGGTTACCACTTCATTTTTCAACTTACGTTTTCAATAATACATTTTGAATTAGGCATGCAGTAGGGACTATGAAAAAACCCAGCCAGAAGTGTGGACAAGCCATCACCATAGTGACCTGCATATAAACATAAAGAAAGAATATTTAAATAAGAATCAATTTGTTGATAGAGTACAAAATGTTTTTTTTTTTTACCTTGCCATCCACAAAATCTTGGAGATGTCAAAAAAGTATGAATATATAGCTATAGGAATTTAGAACTACTAAATTAACATAAGTGCATGAACCTTAAATATAGTATTAGCTAATTAAATTTGATAGTATTACCTACAAACAACCAAAGAATGTTTTGATCAAGTATGTTTTATCCCAGCATAAAAATATTCAAAATAATCAATTCTAGTCTTGACTCAAGCCCATTAAAGACGTGAACTAAATGATCTCCCTGCTCCTGTCATCTGCCTCCTTCACCCTGTATCTTCTCCATATGATCCTGCATGGCAGCAGCAAGTCTATATCTAATCAATAATTATTTTAAATAAAGGGGATTAAATTCTCCAATCAAAAGACAGAGAGTGGCTGAATGGATTTTAAAAAAGATCCAACAATGTACTATCTATACAGAACATATTTTGCCTTTAAGGGTACACATAGACTGAAAATGATGAGATGAAAAAAAGATATTATATGCAAATGAGAACCAAAAGGGAGCACAAGTGGCAATACTTATATCAGATAAAATAAACATTAGTCAAATCTTTACAGACACATCACCCAAAGCAGTGATAGTGAAGGCGAAGATAAACAGCTGGGACTACATCAAATTAAAGAGCTTCTGCACAGCAAAAGAGACAATAACAAAAACAAAGAGAAACCCCACCAACTGGGAGAACATTTTTGCACCCAACACTAATGATAAAGGACTGATCACAAAAATCTGCAAAGAGCTGATGAGACTTAACAACAACAAAGAAAAGAATCCAGTCAAAAAATGGGCAGAAGACCTAAAAAGAAACTTCTCTGAAGAGGAAATGCAAATGGCCAACAGGCATATGAAAAAATGTTCAACATCACTTGTCATCAGGGAAATGCAAATCAAAACTACCATGAGATACCATCTTACACCAGTGAGAATGGCACATATTAAAAAAACTAGCAACAACAAATGTTGGCGAGGGTGTGGAGAAAAAGGAACTCTTCTGCACTGTTGGTGGGAGTGCAAACTGGTCCAACCACTGTGGAGAGCTGTGTGGAGATTTCTGGACCTACTAAACACAGAGCTTCCATATGATCCAGCAATTCCACTCCTAGGTATTTACCCAAAGGACACAGAAACATCAATTCCAAAGAACACCTGCACCCCTATGTTTATAGCAGCACTGTTTACAATAGCTAAGCTTTGGAAACAACCCAAATGCCCAAAAATAGATGACTGGATCAAGAAGATGTGGTACATATATACCATGGAATATTACTCAGCATTCAAAAAAGATAAACACATGCAATTTGCAGCAACATGGATGGCACTGGAAGGGATCATGCTCAGCGAAATAAGCCAAAAAGAAAAAGAAAAATACCGGATGGTCTCACTCATAGCAGGAATCTAGAAAACTTAAATAAGGGACCAGGAAAACGAATAACTATAAGAAAGTGAAAATCAAAATCAACAAAAAACTACGAACCAGAGACACTTTTAGGGGGCGGGGGTGGGAGGGGAGGAATTGGGGTCAGAATGGGGGGGCTGCAATTGTATGGGGAATATAAAAATAAAATTTATTATTTAAAAATAAACATTAGTCAAAATTAGTTAAAATTGCTCACAAGAGACAAAGAAGGTCACCATATATATTAAAGGATCAATTCATCAAGAGGATATAAAATTTATTAATTTATTTGCACCTAACTTTGGAGCACTGAAATTTAAACCAAATATTAGCAAGACTGAAGGGAGAAATAAGCAACATTACAATAATAAGTGACTTCAATACTCCACTTTCATTCAGAGAGAAAATCAATAAGGATGTAACTAATATGAATCACACGAAAGTCCAAATGAACCTTACAGACATACGAACATTCCAGCTAACAACACCAGAAAACACATTCTTCTTAAGTGCATACAGAACATTCTATAAGATAGTTCATGTGTTGGGATAAAAGCAAACCTTAACAAACTTAAGAAAATTGAAATCTTATCAATTATTTTTTTCCAGACTCAGTGGTGTTAAAATAGAAATAATAACAGGAGAAAAACTGGAAAAAATAGCAATTAAACAACATAGTCCTATTTTTGTTTTACCTCCTTTGCCATTAGAGTTAAATACTCAAAGGAGTCTCTATACCTAATGTCACTGAAATTATTGCCTGTGTTCTCTTAATTGTATTTATTGTTTCGGATCTTACAGTCAAGTCCTTAATCCATTTTGAGAGCAACTGGTCCCTCAGCTGTAGCAGGTGTGGTTGAGCAAATCACCCACTCATTATCATTTACCATCACCTCCTCTCCAAAAAACGGTGTGCCGATTTGATTCCGGATCAGCCACCACCTTCTCTGCCTTCAGTGCCTCTTCCAGAACCCTCACTCACTCTGCTGCCTCCTCCATGCCCAGTTCACTAACTTTTGGTGCACACATGGGTGTATACCTTGGGTGTACTGCTTTTTCATTTGTTTATTCTGTTATTCGTTTGCTATTCTGTTGTAATCAAAGGGGAGGGAGAAAATGAATGACACATGATATTTATTCAAGCTATAAAAGTGTGTACATCACCTTCACTTTGAAACTCAACTTATGCTTAAAACATTGATAAAAATTATTCTGATTTTGACATTTATGACATCATCTTTCCTATAATAAGGGACAAATCAATTCATTACTATTCCCTTAATATAATTCCTAGTTCACCATGTTTATGAATTAAAACTTATTTTAAAATGTCATTATGTTAACATCTTATCAAGGCATAATTATACAATATTCCATACATATTTAATGTGAACAATTTAATATGTTGCTTTCATTGAATTCATATTGTTCATAATGTTATCCAGTTTCCTCTTTGATTTTTTTCCTTTGGCAAATATATTGTTTTATAGTGTGCCAGTTTATCTCAACTCCAGGGCTCACTCTTAAAACAGTGTGTGTATGAGATGATAGTTTTGAGACCTAGAAGAAGACAAACGGTGGGCTGAAGAATCAAGCAGAAACTTAGTACCCACTCAATGTTGGGGAGACAGAGGCTGGCATTTAAGTCTTACCAAGTTAGAGGCCTTGGTAAATATTCAGTGTATTCTCAGAAAAATTATGCCTTGGAAGTAAATGCTTCAAATTAGAAGAAAATACCACACCTTGGGAATAAGCTCCACAATTGTTATTAAGGGCAAAACAAAGCTTCAAACCAAATCTGACCCCATCAAGGTATTTGGCAAGGTCTTCTGCCTCTTGCCTCTTTTCAAGGATTCTGTCCCACAAGTTCAGGCATTTCAGCAGCCTGGGACTCTGAATTCCACTTCCTCCTCTCAGTACAATCACTTTTGGACTCCTTCCCTTGCACTACAAACAGATACCCTGGGGAAGGAGTTTTGATAAACAAGGAGGGAAAAGGACTTCCTTTCTTTAACGAATCATACCTGCTCTTGATTTCTAGTCAATGGCTTCAAACAATTATTTACTCACATTTTGTTCAGTTTTTAATAGTTGGGTTTTTTTCTTGGCTATTCTAATACCAGCCATTCAGTTGTGGCTGAAATAATAAGTCTTTCACAATTCTTATTTCTGGGACTTTCAGCTGCCCAGGCCTGAAGGTGCACGGATAATCCCCGCTTCTACAAAGAGATGATGAGTGTAAATGGTGTCTTGTGAACAGACCACAGGATTGAACTGAGCTACTCTAGACTTACATTTCTTCATTTGGTAACAAGGCATTTGGGCATTAGGCATTTGGACCAAGCCTACCACAGCTCCTAAAATAATATAAATCAGTGAGCCATTTTGTAAGCAGTATGGGTCTATTACCTACAATAGATATAGAAAAAGTAGAATTTGGAAATATTAAGTATAAAAATCTAAAAAAGATATATTCTCTGTGGTTTAACATAACTGAAACAATGGCTTCCATGTATTTTAAAATATTTTGAAGCTAAAACTTTGGATGCTCTGAGAACTACCTATTCTATTTAGACTTAGTTAATGAAAAGTCTTACTTATCATGCATGCATTATCAAATACAAATAAAATTCAATCATATAGCACAATACATAAAAAATAAAATTAGCTATTTAGATAATTTTAAGTTTTTGAAAGGGTGGTTAATGCAGTTTGAAGTAATGAAATTTTAGATGAATAATACAACTAAAATATCAATGAGAATTTCACTGAATAACCAACTATTTCTAACTGCATTTATTTTTTTTTTTCAAATTATTTTGAAAATAGGTAGCATCAGTTTTTTGTTGTTGTAAATGAACATAAATTTTCATGAGAAAGTAGAGTACACTTACCAATGACAGTAAAACTAACCTGTCATGTCATATCGGAAGCAAGAGGAATGGTGGGCCAAATGAAACAGTAAATTGCAAAAAATGCCAGCCATATTATTATGCTTCCCCAAATTGCTATATGACTAAACTGCAAAAAGAAAAATATCATAGAAACACTTCAATCTTTTCTGTTTAAAATATAACTATCAGTCAACTAACAAAATATATGATGTCCAGGACACCATAGAAAATTATTGGTAATCTTTCAATTTCTTGATAGATTTATTCAATTTCAGGTTCTTTTAAAGAAAAAAAATCTTTGAACAGAAATCATTAAGAAGGATATAAATTTGAACTTATACATGTTCTGTGTGAATTCTGGGACACTCGCATAAGTTGGATTTCTAGACCAAACCAGGAAGACTTTCTGTTTCTATCAACTATGTATGTCATTCTGGTTGAGCTGTTGGCTGGAGCATCACTGTGCAGGTCTAGTTTAGGAACTTGTACCAAACTCTTTAATGCTAAATGTTAAGGAGACAAATCCTCCTGTTGATCTGATCTGTTATTTGTACAGTTTGTGTTAGCAAAGGAATGGTAAGGAAAATGACTAGGAGACTTAGGTTCTAAACTTGGCTCTCTGGGTGCACTGCATGCCCACAGGTCTCAGATTGATCATTTTATCATATTTAGCTAGAAGACATTACTTCTTAAGGTTTCAAGTGTGCTCACCTTACTAGGTACAGCTCATTACTAATCATATCTGAACAACAAAACAGAGAAACCACAATCTGCTATTTCTCAGAGTTTTTTAATGAAAAGTAATTTTTTCACTCTCTTAAAAAAAATAACATCTTTAATGATTCCTCTGATTAAAAGGAACCAGTCTCCTCAAGGCTTTCTCTTGTGATCAACAGATGATGGAGAAGAGAACCAGTTCAAAACTTTCAACTTTTCTAACACTGCAGTGCATTTTCATGTAATTTTTCCCCTGTAGTCAACCTTAATACATTAGCTGTAAAATATTTCTCAAAGCAGTTATGTTACAGGGCAACCCTGATATAAAATGGGTTGCCTGACTGTGGGTCCTCACCTGTGCACTTAAAAGGGACTTACACTGCAGGCACACACAAAAGGTTAACAAAGGTTTATTTACAAAGGAAAGGGAAATGAGGAAATGTACAGCTCAGGTAGAAAAGAGGGAGATAAATTCTTAAATGCGTCCTACCCATTCTGCCGACCTGGAATCCCAAATGGAATCCCGCCAAGACCAAACCTGCCTGGCCAAGAGCACGAGCCAAGTGCCCCAGACCCCACTAACAAGGCTGGTTTTATTTACAAACAGATAAAATGGCTGCTTAACTCTGCCCTTAGGTCTTTGCAACTTCCCTTTGGGGATCATGGGATTTGTAGTTCCCAGGGTCTTGATGGAGTGGGGGTGGCATCCACAAAGCCTATATGGAGTATGCTCAGGACATCCTTTCCCCTAACAGTTACAGTAGCTTGCTACTGTCCTAAGAAAATGGACTCAACAGGCACCACCTTTAAGCCATACAAAATGCCTCTCATTGCATTTCATGTATATGTGAAAAATAAAGGGTCAGATAAAACCAAGCCAAAAATAAACCATCTGACTGTAGAATTGTGACTACCAGAAAAGGAGAGGGAGGGAAGAGAACAAAGTGGGGAGTGAGCTATGATAGTGGGGGACTATGAGTGCTGGGGTGATAGGTGTGGTATGATTATAAATATAAATGCTGTAATCCTATACCTCTGAATCATATACAGTATTACAAACCAATGCAACCTCAATTAAAAAAATGTTACAATTAACTATCATTAAGAATATAGAAGCCTGAGCAATATAATTATCCACCTTAAAATTATTGATATTAATAGTTCTCTGTATTTTACAACTAAATATAAACATTCATTTAAAAAAGTTAGCATGAAGCAACTATCTGGATTGAGGAAATATCTAAATATCCTAACGAATACTCACTTTATTCCAAGACATTGTCTCCAAACCAGCTTTCAGACAAACAGTAACTATCACATACTGTGTGAGGTAAGAGAGCAAAGGGGAAAGAGATTGGAAAAATGATAAAAAATTAGAATCCAAACCCCACCTTCTTGACCCCTTCTCTCCCCCCCTCCCTGACACACATACACTCCCATGTCTGGTGAACTCTCTTGTCATTTGGTTGCTAAATTTTAGTTGTAGGGGAATGAAGTTTTTCAAAAGATGTTCTGGTTTAGAAGTTCATTAACATGATGAATCCATGCTTTTAAGCACTTATATTTACATTTTTTAAAATAGTATGGAAGATTTGATTCTTATTAATAATCTAAGTGACTGATTAAAAAAAAAAACAGTTGAGCAGAGTAGATTGAAATAGCTGAAGAGTATCTTGGCTATTTATGCCCCTTCGCATTCCTATATTCATATTTTAGAAATGACACATCAAGTCTCTAGGGCTTTTAATTGTGATTACAATAAATCCATCTGAAGTGATCTGACTTCTTTGAAGTATTGAGTCTTCTAGCTAATGTTCTTGTATATTTCTTCATATAGATGTTCTTAATGTCTCCAGTAATGTTTTACAATTTTCCTTAGAGATCTTGAATATCATGTATTAGATTTGTTCTTATGTTTCCCATATGTTTGATAGTATTTTTAAAATAGTATTTATTTTTTTAACTTTACAAATATGTGTTTGGTGGTACACTAAATTTAATTGATTCTTAAATATTGATCAGTATCCCAGCAACAGCCAATCTCTTTTTTATTGATTGTAATATTTTATCTGTAGATTTTATTTTGTTTCTATCTTCATACTCCGCATCTATGATTTAAAAACAGATTTTGTCCCTTTCAAAGCTTAGGCTT